AAATCACCAGAACAGAACTCAAACCATCAATGTACTGTATGTTCATTAGCCATGTCCTTCCCAAACACTTTGTTGATATTTTGAGCTATCTGCACTGCATTGGTTCCACAATGGAACTCATATTAAAAAATAACTCGAATTTTTGATTTATCCATGGTTTCCCAAAAACAGCTTGAAAAAAAATTTTGAAAGATAATCACAAGTCCAACTGTGTGTTTGCAAGACTGAGGATGTACCATCACAATAAAAGTTTTCTAAATTTCTTGATCTGTGTACTAAAAAGCTCTAATTCTCAACTCTTTTCTCCTAGCAATGCATGGGCACTTAGAGGCAGTAAAGGTGCTCCTTAAGAGGTAAGAACAGCACAGAAAATGGGAGAAAATATTTGATATTTGTGACAATTATTAATCATAATAATTGAGTTAATATCAGTGTATATAAAGAGCTCAGACACACTGTTAAAGAAACTAAACTGTCAAAAGAAAAATGAGACCAGAAACAGTGGCCAGCCTGAGTGAGACCCCATCTCTATTATAAATAGAAATGAATTGGCCAACTAATATATATAGAAAAAATGAGCCAGGCATGGTGGCACTTGCCTGTAAGTCACAGCTACTTGGGAGGCTAAGGCAGGAGGATCGCTTGAGCCCAGGAGTTTGAGGTTGTTGTAAGCTAGGCTGATGCCACGGCACTCACTCTAGCCTGGGCAACAAAGCGAGACTTTGTCTCAAAAAAGAAAAAGTTTAGCCAAGCATGGTGGCACACGCCTGTAGTCCTATCTACTGGGGAGGCGGAGGAAGGAGGATAACTTGAGCCCAGGGGTTCAAGGTTGTAATGAACTCTGATTGTGCCACTGCACTCCAGCCTGGGCACAGAGCGAGACCCTGTCTCTTAAATATATATATATGTAAATATATAACACAAAAATAGCTAGCCAAATGCATGGGAAAAACATGCTTTTAATGGCAAAATTATCCACTTATTTATTCAACAAATATTTATACCTTCATTCAGTGTCTCACATAAACTAAGCCCTGCCCCATATGCAGGGGCTGCAACAGAAACAAAGACAGATGTGCTTGCTGCCCTCCTGGAACTCTCAGACTGGCAGGGAATACAGGTTGTGAACAAATCCCGTTGGTCTGATGAGCATTGCAGGATCCCTATGGGAGTACATAATATTCTTTCCTTCGTTCATTCAAGAAACGTTTTTTGAGCACTTCCTGTGTGTTAGGTTCTGGGTGATAAACACAGTCCTTTCTGTAATGGAGCCTATGGGCTGGTGTGAGAGACAACTATAGACGAATAATCCCACAAGTAAATACCATATAATTACACAAAGTGTGGCAGTACCACAGAGGAAAAGTACAAGATGCTATGGGAACAAAGGTCCTCCTGTTGATGGTGGTGATGAGGAAAGCCCCTGGGGAGGTCCCATTTACGGTGCAACTGAGAGTGAGCTGGGGAAGAGTGGGCAGTGCTGCTCTAGCAGAGGCGCAGCAGTGCAAGGGCAGGAAAGGGCTCAGCAGCCGGGGCCCTGGGAAGAGCAAGGCCAGCCTGGGCAGGAGACCTAGAGAGGGAAGCAGGTGCCATGTTCTTCTGGCCCTTGGAGGTCATGCTGATATTGGAGGTTTTGTCCTTAGTGCAGGGTAGGGGGCAGTGTTAAGGCTTCATCCACTTGGAGCATGGAAAGAGGATGGTGGTTGCTGTGCAGAACGGCTCGGCAAGGCAGGAGTTGAGATGAGAAGCAGGTCGGGAGGCCATTGCCAATTGACTGGGTCTTAAGGGATGGAAGTGGAGTGGAGAGGAGGAGATAGATGTCTTAAATATTTTGGCTGTAAAATTGAGAGGTGGGGGATCAGTTGGGCATAAAGAATAAAGGGAAGGTGGTGGCAAGGCTGACTTCAGGGCTTCTGGCATGATAAGCTGACGAGAGGATGGTGCCATCAAAGGGATGGAGACAGTTAAAGGAGCAGTGAGTTTGCCAAGGAGGATCATTGTGCTCTGTGAGCACTCCAGACTATCCTGGGTCATGTGTCCAGCTTACAGTCTACTTGCAAGTCATCAGGTGTCACCTGTCTCTTGGGTTTGAGGTGGTGAATTTTCTCAACTCTCTCACTTGGGGTTTTGGCTCTAGGTGCCAATATGATCCGGACTGCAAAGACAACTGTGGCGTTACCCCCTTTATGGACGCGATTCAGTGTGGTCACATAGACGTAGCCAGGCTGCTCCTTGAAAAACACGAGGTATAAAATGGTTTTGTTTGATTCCTTTGACTCCTTCTATACATTTTAGATGATAGGATAAGCAGAGCACATTGTTATTTAGATCGTGGGTTCAGATCCCAGTTCTGCCAACCTCCCCCTGTGACCTCTTTAAGCATCCGTGTTCCTATCTGTAAAACACAGACAAATTTCATTTTAGAAGGTTCCCACCAGAATTAAATAATGCACATAAAGCAGTTAGCAAAGTAAGTATTCAACTGTCTCTGCTGACTGCTTTTGGCACTATAGCCTGGAGCACTGAGCCTTAACCATTTTTTTTTTTTTTGGTTAGAGAATCGTTTAAGAATCAGACAAAAGCTACCTCAGAGTTTTGCCAAAATGTCAGTAGGTGCCTGGACCCAGGTTTCTCTGCTTCTCATCTTTGCTCCTCTCTCCTCTGTCCATCAGGTTTGCCTTTCAGCCGAGGACAGGCTAGGCGCCCAGGCCCTGCACAGGGCAGCAGTCACAGGGCAGGATGAAGCCATCCGATTCTTGGTCTCTGAACTTGGTGTTGATGTAGATGTGAGAGCAACCTCAACCCACCTCACAGCGCTTCATTATGCAGCGAAGGTTTGTTTTTCTCATGATAGTGTCCCTGCTTCCCCAGGCTTGCCTTACTTGCTGGTGGATACCTCCATAGCCCTGGGTTCTTTGGATCTGTTTCTGTGGAATAAATTGCCCACGATATACTCCTGAAATATTCATGATTCTGAAGCCCTTTATCTCTTTAAATAGAAACCTGGCATTATTTTGTTTCTAGGCAAAAACTGAAAAAAATCTTTTACTCCGTACAGTGCCTGGGCTTTATGCCTCCTCTTTCCCCAAGTTTTTGTTTTCAGTAGTAATGCTATTTGAAGTCATAAATATTGTTGAAATTCCTGGGTCTCTCTTTTGTACTGGATTTCAGAAGTTAATATCTTTTTAACTGGGATGAAGGAATTGCATTTACCAGGCTCTCTAAAGTATAAAATATTGAAGATAAGTAAAAATTTTTCAATAGTCACCATTTTAAATGTAGGAGTCTTTTGTGTATTATCTTTTTTTTTTTTTTTTTTTTGAGACAGAGTCTCACTCTGCTAGGCTAGAGTGAGTGCTGTGGCGTCAGCCTAGCTCACAGCAATCTCAAACTCCTGGGCTCAAGCGATCCTCCTGCCTCAGCCTCCGGAGTAGCTGGGACTACAGGCACGAGCCACCATGCCCGGCTGATTTTTATATTATATATATTAGTTGGCCAATTAATTTCTTTCTATTTTTATGGTAGAGACGGGGTCTTGCTCAGGCTGGTTTTGAACTCCTGACCTTGAGCAATCCGCCCGCCTCGGCCTCCCAGAGTGCTAGGATTACAGGCGTGAGCCACCGCGCCCGGCCTTGTGTATTATCTTTAACATTTTTTGAGAGACTATAATCTAGTTTATCTTTGCCCTAAAAATTTTAGCAAAGAGTATATTTGCTTGGGAAGTTTTGGAATTATAGATTCTGTATAAATTACAAAATTCATACTGCTTATACTAATGGGAACCCAAATGCATTGGGTCAATAATTTTGCCCACAGAATCAATCATCTATAATCTAATCATTAAATGTCACCAGAATATTTATTTAGTGATTTATACTAGAATTTGAGAGTAACATAATGTCTTCCTTTAGATAGGAAATTTCAGTTTTAGCAGTTGATTGTTTTCGAAAAAGCACCCAATATGCATTAGAGTTTAAGAGTATCCTTTTATCTTCATCACAGTGATAATGAATTTATTTCAACACTCAGGAAGGACATATAAGCACAATTCAAACTCTCTTATCATTGGGTGCTGACATTAGTTCTAAAGATGAAAGAAATCGATCAGGTATGACTTATTTCTACATATGCCTTGAAAATAATAAATTAAACATAAATAATACATATACTTTTATACTTATAACATTGGTTTTAACATTATTCTTCTAATAGCTCAGCAACTTTTCCTTAAAATAACTTTTCCTCTGTTTGCAAAGCCGTAGAACTATTGCTATTACCATGACCATGATGTTGACTGCTACTCATTATTGCTGTTGTAGCTACTGTTGTTATTTTAAACCATAACAATGTATGTGTCATAAAAGCACTTTCTAATTCATATGACACCTGCTATCCAGGTATTATATAGATTTTTCAGAGGTCATCTGTCTTTGGGGTATATTTAGAAACTATGTTCACTATAATTGTTTAAATTTAGGGCTCAGAAATATATTCTCAGAGCTGATTCAGAATAAACCCTCTAAGGAGGGTTAGCCATTTTTCAAGGGTTCGGTGGGATCTTTAACATGTTTCAAAGACTGGCAGTTAACTAACTACTCACTCTAGGTCTGGAAAGGGCAGCCACCAAGCCCAGGAAGGGACACAGACTCTCCCAAGGCAGGGCAGCAGACCACCGATGCTCTTAGACTCTCAGTGATAATTTCTACACCCAGAATGGGAAGCTTAGTCAACAGTTTTTCTTTTTGTCACATCATTCTTATTCATGGTGATATTTTTACTTACAAAATAAATTCAACAGAACTTTAAGAAAGTTTTCTGTACTATTTAAAATGTGTTTCTATAGCACTGAGGAGTGAGTATAAGGAGGGTGTCTCCTATTTCTCATTAACTTTCTCTGTTGGTTTAGACAAGTTTCTTAAATCTTCCCTAGTAGTATTGTTATCTTTAATACTATTTCAACCCAGTCAGATTAAAAAGAAATATTTTGACCCAGTATAAGCAAAGTCATAGGGATTGATTATGGCCGTATAATATCTGTATTATTGAAAGAATCAATATTTTTATTGGGCACAGTCAGCTCCTGAGGTCAGTATTGCTCCAGGGATCACACACAGAGTCTGTATTTTTTGTCACCCCTCAGCCCTGCACCTGGCCTGTGCAGGTCAGCATGTGGCCTGTGCCGAGTTTCTTCTGCAGTCAGGCCTGAAGGATTCTGAAGATTTGACGGGCAGCCTGGCTCAGCAGCTCATAGGGGAAGCAGCTCCGGCCACAACGAGAGGACATATGGACATTTCTGAAAGGAGGCAGTAACGTGCATGGTAATTTACATCCCGCTTCTTAAATCATGCGCAGATTCAGTAAAACCGGTCCATAGCCACTTTCCATCTCCTACTCCCCCCTGCCCTCCTCCTGCACACCCTACCCCTGCCAAGGTTTTCCTGATGCTCAGGAAGCTGGGTTCCTCGCCCCTAACTAGCACACTGTGGCATCCTGAGCACAGTCATAATCTTTCCACAATCCATATTTCACTTCTTCTACCCTTAAAGTGGAATTAGATGCTTTTGAATTGCTCAGGATCAGGAGTTCAAAACCAGTCTGAGCAAGAGCGAGACTCCATCTCTACTATAAATAGAAAGAAATTAATTGGCCAACTAATAATATATATAAAAAAATTAGCCAGGCAGGGTGGCACATGCCTGTAGTCCCAGCTACTCAGGAGGCTGAGGCAGGAGGATCGATTGGGCCCAGGAGTTTGAGGTTGCTGTGAGCTAGGCTGACACCACGGGACTTTAGCCCAGGCAACAAAAGTGAGACTCTGTCTCAAAAAAAAAAAAGATGCTTATGAGATCAATCTTTGGAATCCTTAGATTAGATGCATGAATATAATATTGTCTGTATACTTTTATAAATATATCAAATGTCTTATACTGTATGGTAAGGCAATGATAACATTAAAAATGTAACATAAATTGCTATTAGTCTGAGCCATAAAACATAATTGGCCTGTTACTTTCTTCCTTCATAGGCTTCTACTTGGTCATTACAACAAACCAACTTTTGGTTTCATAACCAGGAAGGAAAAGCTTATAACCTGTTTACACATTTACAGGAAATTAATGAAAACTTTTATATATTCTAAGTGTTGCTAGTTAAGCTGTAAGGTTTTAATCTTAAGGGTTTTTGTTTGTTTTAGGAGATAAGTTCTGTATTGGCTCTCTTTCATTCTTACCTACAAAATTTAAAGATATTTCCAAAACTTTTCTATCAGCCTGAGTTGAAGAATGGGGTTTTTGTTCTTAAAACCTACAGGTTACATTTCCTATACTGTCCCATTCATCCACCAAAGCCTCTGACTCTTAAGGAATGAAGCATTCAACATTACAACTTTAAAAATTATTGTAGCCTCTTAAACAGATCAGTGATAGGATGAGTCCTCAGGCATTTGTACTCTTTTTTTCTGGCTTTTTTCCTTTTCTTTTTCTTTTTTGATCATTTTCTCTGATTTGCTAAGAGTAATTATTAATCCAAATCTGTCTTTTGAAAAATTGTATGCATCAATCACGAGCAAGATTTAGGCCAAGCGAGGTGGCTCATGAGCAAGATTTAGGCCAGGCACGGTGGCTCACCCCTGTAATCCTAGCACTCTGGGAGGCCGAGGCAGGCAGATTGCTCGAGGTTAGGAGTTTGAAACCAGCCTGAGCAAGAGTGAGACCCCATTTCTACTATAAATAGAAAGAAATTAATTGGTCAATATATATAGAAAAAATTAGCTGGGCATAGTGGTACATGCCTGTAGTCCCAGCTACTCGAGAGGCTGAGGCAGGAGGATCGCTTGAGCCCAGGAGTTTGAGGTTGCTGTGAGCTAGGCTGACACCTCGGCACTCATTCTAGCCTGGGCAACAAATCTTTTTTTTGAGACAGTGTTTCACTTTAATCCTCTTGTTATTGTGACCCAGCAAGTACTTATTACCCACCTACCTTATTCTCAGAGCGTTGTGCTCAGCCTAGTAAGGAGCAAGAATTTCCAGTTCCTCTTAATTATTCCCAGACACTGGCAGATTCCTATCCCTAACCACCAAATAAACGGTTCTGGTAGGAGCACCATCACATAATCTCTCTGTCTGCACTGATTTGAAATGTGATTACCATTTTCCTGTTGCTTCAGAGACACCTATCATCGATGCCCTTGGGTCTGAAGATGATCCTGTTGTGTGGATATTTCACACGAGCCAGCGGGGCCCTCTCCCTCCTCGGCACACACACATGGCGGCTTCTTGTTTGCTGCCGGTACATGCGCAGTCAGTTCCCATTTGTAGCTTTGCTTCTGCCCTTACAAACCAGACAATGATTATTGCATATCCTGTTACACTTTTGTTTCCCAGGAGTTCTAGATTCCGTACACCTTTTGAACGTAAGCCTTGGCTACCAGATGGTGCTGCTGAAACTACTCAACATCCACAGTGGGCAATGATTATAATAACAACATTAACTGTGACAGAATAGCAATAATATAACAATATATTTCTGGAGCAGTAATATATTAAGAATGCTAATGGCAATGATGTAATAATATTTTTCCATCATTCCTAATTACAGTTACTTTCCTCACTTCCTTTGAGTCTATACCTAAAAGTCACCACCTTGGTGAGGCCTGCCCAGGCCTCCCTATCTAAAATTTCATTGTTATCTTCAACATTTGATATCTTCTCTCCTTAGTTTATCGTTTTCTCCTTAGCATTTGCCACTTGCTATACTGTATAGTTTGAGTTATTTATCCTGCTCATTGTCTTTCTCCCCAAACTGCTATGCAAGCTCCTTGGACAGGAATTTTTGCCTTCTTTGTTCACTTACTGTATCTGCAGGACCTAGAACAATCCCTGGCACATGTACGTTTTGAAAGGATTATCTGGTGAATGAATGGATGTCAGTAACAATTTATGACCCTTGAACATTCACTATATGCTGGACACTGTGGTAAGCACCTTACCTACATTGTCTCATTTTTGTCCTCTGACCCTTGCACTCTGCAGCTCTTCTAGTTATTACTCCATTTCTCTTATACACTTCTTCCAAGAATAATCTGCTTGATACTCTCAGCTCATAGGGTACCACTCCCCGCCTGCAGCCTGGCTTCTCACTGCCACTCTGCAGAGAATTCAGTCAGGTTGCCAGTGACTTCCTAATTGCCAGATCAGGCAGTGTGTTTTTAGCCATTATGTTACTGACCTTTCAGTTCACTTACTGATCATTCCCACCTTCTTCTGGACTCTTGCCACCTGTGCTGACATGCTTGTAGGTTTTTCTTTTATGACTTTTCCTTCTGTCTATCCTTCATTTGCTCCTCTGCTAGAGCCTGCCCAAGCTTCTGTCTCCAGCTCACTCTTCCTTAGTCTGTGCTTGCTCCTGAAGCATTCTCATCTGTCCTCTGGTTTCACCTTCACCCTAACATCGGCACTGCTCAGATCTCTCTCTACACCTGTTTTCCGCTGTCTGCTGTCCATTTTTGCATGGGTGTCCTCCAGCTGTCTCACACTGGGTTTATGCAGAGCCCAGCCTTCCCCGTAGCCCACTTAAACACAGGCTTGTGTTCTTGCCTTAGTTGTGATACCACAGTTCACCTGCCATCAAGCTGGAAACTCGGAGGTCACTGGTGACAGCTCCCTCCATGGGAAGCCCTGTGGAGGCAGTTCTATAATCTGTCTGTTCCAGTCTGCCCCTTCTGTGACTCCCTGTTCAGGTTCTCACATTCTCACCCCAGACCACAAAAGCAGGAGCCTCCTGATTATTCGTGTTCCTCAAATCTAGTCCCCTCGAATCACAGCTTCCAGAGAGCTCTCGCCAATTTGACCAAGGGTGTTTACTGCCCACAGAGGCTCAACCTGCCTCCCTTCCAGGGCACGTGCTACAGTTTCAGCAGGGTTTCCGATGCCTCGACCAAGACCCACTTTCACAAGAGCTGTCAGCTGATTCCAGAAGTGCACCTGCTCCAGGGCCAGTGTGTGTTATTAGCTCAATCAGGGCAAGAAGTCACTGGAAAGAGATGTGCATAATCACCAGCGTAATGATAAGTTGTGGCATACTGGAGGGACTGTGAAACAATAGTTGCGAGATGTTGTGGCTTTATGCCTATGATATCGTTATCGCTATAAAAATTAACTTATACAAGAAATTATTTACAAAAGAAAATATTGGAAAAAAGAATTCAGTGGTTTAAAGAAATGGCAAACTGCAGGCTGTAGAACAAGAGAATATTGCAGCAAGAGCGACGTGGTGTGGGAAAAGGGAAGGACGTTGGGTGTGAGTTAAGCCCTTACGGCAGTGATGGCAGAAAGAGAAAACGTCCCCTTTGATTCTCCTGATTTGTTTATTTGGGACAGTCTTAAATCACACTGGTTGTGCAGGCTAGAGTGCTGTGGCGTCAGCCTAAGGCTCACAGCAACATCAATCCTGGCCAAGCAATCCTCCTGCCCAGCCTTCGCAAGTCAGCTGGGACGTCCAGCAGGCCATGCGCCACCACTGCCTGGCTAATTTTTCTATATATATTAGTTGTCCCAAATTAATTTCTTTATTATAGTAGCAGACGGGGTCTCACTCTTGCTCAAGCTGGTCTCGAACTCCTGACCTTGAGCAATCTTGCCTTGGCCTCCCAGAGGGCTAGGATTACAGGTGTGAGCCACCGTGCCCGGCCGCCTCTTGAAAGTTTTGAGCAGAGGAGTGATTAAACCTGACCTGGATTTTAGGAGGATCATTCTGAATGTGGGGCCAAAAGCCAAAAGGAACCCAGTAGGAGCCATTCATTCGGCCTGTTGAGACAGGTTGGGACCTGGACAGATTGACAGGGAAAAGGAGCTCTTGGGCGGCGGGCGGACTTCGGTGAAGTGGTGAGCTAAGTCTAATCAGAAGGGGTGAGGGAAGATGGGAAAGGAGAGGAGTAGAAACGAGCCGTGGAGAGGGATGTGGATTGATTATTTTTTTTTAATGGAGTAGGTAAAAGTTTATAGATTGAATGCTGAGAGAATGACCCAACAGAGAGGGGAAGTGATGGCGAGAAAACGTTGTATTGGGAGGTGACGAACGAGAGAGTAGGGAAGAGAGGGAAGAGGTGCCGGGGTGTTTCTTAAGCTGCATATCCATAGGACAAACCGAGAGTCTTGTGAAAAATGCAGACTCTGCATTTCCGGTAAGTTCCTGGGGAATCCCACAGCTGCTGCTCCACAGACCACACTGAGTGGCTTCCAGTGCATGAGGGGAAAAGCTGGTGTTGCCTGGATAGTTCCGCCCCAGTCTCAACCTAGAAAGCTGAACAGAAGGGTGCAGGGAGAAGAGGAGGAGTCTTCCAGTTGCTCCAGCTTTTCTCTGTGAAATACGAAAGACCAGCTGAGAGTAAAGGAAAGGTTTGGAGATTTGAGGAGTTAGTTAAGGAAGCAAAGGCCTGGGCAGTGGCTTGAGCTCACCCCAGAAGTTTGTGGGACACAGGTGTGGTGGCTGAGCCCATAGGTCTGGGGTGGAGTCTAGGAATTTGCATCTCTTTTTCTTTTTTTAATGGTTTTATTGAGGTATACAAAAACCTGCACATGCTCATTGCAGCTGAGTTTGGACATAAGTGCACACCCATGAAACCCTCACCACAGTCAGGCAGTAAACTCATCCCTCACCTCCAGAAGTTTCTTCATGCCCCTTTGGGCTTTTTGTTTGATTTGTAGTATGAACCTTTAACATGAGATCTACCCCCTTGGCCAGGCGTGGTGGCTCACCCCTGTAATCCTAGCACTCTGGGAGGCCAAGGTGGGTGGATCGCTCAAGGTCAGGAGTTCAAAACCAGCCTGAGCAAGAGCCAGACCCCGTCTCTACTAAAAATAGAAAGAAATTAATTGACCAACTAAAAATATATATAGAATAAATTAGCCGGGCATGGTGGCTCATACCTGTAGTCCCAGCTACTCGGGAGGCTGAGGCAGGAGGATTGCTTGAGCCCAGGAGTGTGAGGTTGCTGTGAGCTAGGCTGACGCCATGGCACTCACTCTAGCCTGGGCAACAAAGTGAGACTCTATCTCACAAAAAGAGATCTACCCTCTTAACCAGCGTTCAAGCGCATAACACAGTCTTGTACTGTAGGCACTCTGTGCGTACCTGTCTCTGGGGCTGAAACCTCTCGCACAACCTCTGAAACCTCTGTAACTTTACCACCACCACCCCCTCAGCAGCAGCTCCCCACCTGTCCCTCTGGGATTCGAGTATCTCCCCAGTTTGCAGGGAAGCCCATGCGCTGAGAGCCAGAGGCAGGACTTCAAGGCTGCATGGGAGTCAGCTGAGGTTCCCTGTCTACTTTCTCCACCACAGTGAGCCGTTTCAGTAAGTAGAAAGTTTGATTTCATCAAGATGGGCGATTCCCAGACAAAAAGAGCAAAAGGATCATTTAGCACAATGTCTAGTATTTGGTGTGTGCTCAAAAGGCATAGGTAGTTATCTGGGGCCGGCCCCACCATCCTCCCTCCCCTGGAGACTGCACACTGTGCAGGTGAAGAGCCAGGCCCTGTGGCCGGCAGACCTGCATCTAGCTGTGGGACCCTGACCTAGTTCCTTAACATCTCCAAGTTTTAGAGTCTTCATCTATGAAATGAGGTAGGTGATAATAACTCTTGTTCACAGAGATGCTGGGAGCTTTAAATAAGGCACTGTATCTGAGCCACTTAGCACAGTGTCTGGCATGTAGCAGGCAATAAATGTTAGCGAACCTCAAAGACCAGAAAGATAGAAAGCATTTAATAAAAATTAGCTCTGATCCATTTTCTGCAGGCAAATCAAAGAGAAAAAAAGAGAATATTAAAAAAAAAAAAAAATTAGCTCTGGGTATAATCTCTGCTCATCCAAGCACAGCAAAATGTCATACATCTTCCAGATTCACAATAAGAATTAATTTCTTCTCATCTGTTCTTGCTTTGCACTTTGTAGCAATTATCACATGGTTTGCCTTATGTTAGACCTTATATACAAATAAATATATGGTAGTCAAGACCACTAAACCTTGGGGGTCATTTTTAATGAGTTTTTATTCTAAAAGTAGTACTTGTTCATGATGAAAAATAATACAAACAGTACTAATAAAAACCAGATAGATATTCCAAATAGGATCATACATGCCCTTGCAACTTTTTTTTTCTTTTTTTATTGAAACAGAGTCTTGCTCTGTCGCCCTGGGTAGAGTACAGTGACATCATTGTAGCTCACAGCAACCTCAAACTCTTGGGCTCAAACAATCCTCCTGCCTCAGCCTCCCGAGTAGCTGGGACCACAAGTGCACACCAACACACCTGACTAATTTTTTCTATTAGTAGAAATGGGGTCTCACTCTTGCTTACGCTGGTCTGGAACTCCTGAACTCAGGCAGTCCTCCCGCCTCAGCCTCCCAGAGTGCTAGGATTACAGGCATGAGCCTCTGGGCCAAGCTCTTGCAACATTTTTAACTTAACAGTGCATGTTAGAAATTGTTTCTCATTAGTTCTTATAGGTCTGCCTCACTCTTTTTAACATGGCTAAGTATTATGTTCTAACATCCCGTCCTTCCAATGTACTATAATTTATCTAAGCTGATTCCTATTTATAGACATTTTTGGATGCTTCCAGTGTTTATTTAAGTTACGGTTGTAAACAGTGGTGCAGTACGCACATATCTTTGTGTCCTTCTGTGATGAGAAGATAAACCCCTAGAAGCAGAGTAAAGGATCTATGCATTTTTTTATGTTACTGTCTCGGTTACAGTGCAGGTAGCAGAGAATAGCATGCATTCCAGCTATCTTAAGTAGGAGATTTGTTATAGGCCTCCCTACTTGGGAGGCTGAGGCAGGAAGATCTCTTGGAGCCCAGGAGCTTGAGGTTGCAGTGAGCTGTGATGATGCCACTGCACTCTGGCCTTGATAACAGACCCAGACCTTATCTCAAAAAAAAAAACAAAAAAAAACAGACTCCAATGCTTTTTCTAACCTCAGCTCTGTTTGTGTAGATGCTTCTATCCCATTTGCCCGAGCAAGTCACATGGCCATGCCCAGAATCAGTGTGTGTGGGGAGGGGACACCCAGAGGCCTGGACACAGGCCATCGATTGAGGTCATTAATGAAAGTATTTAATAAAAATTAGTTCTGGGCATAATCTTTGCTCATCTAAGCACAGCAAAATGTCTTGCATTATCTTTTGACCATTGTTTTGTTGATTTGTAGGAGTCCTTTTTTATATTGAGTTAATTAGCTCTACACATAATTTCACATAGTGACAGTCAAATTTTTGGTATCCATTTATAAGTGGAAAAACAGACAACAGTATAGCAGAAATAATCCTCTCTATATCTCCTTTTTTAAAAACTCTTGAATAGATATGGACATACAGCAAGGCTGCCTAAAATGATGGGAGTTAAATGGCACAGATTCTTTGGATGTGGTATGGTATTTCTATTTTTATTATAATGTGTGTTAACTTTTAAGCAACTCTGAGTTCTAGAGCTTTCATCTGTGCCAGCCAACCATATACATATTATTTTCCCAATGTTACTCGAAAATCCACAATCAACTAAGATGGAAATGAATATAAAAGACCTAGAAACAAAGTCCGACTTGTCGATCATCCTGCCCCTTGGGTGCATAGCTCTGGGTCTACCATATCCTTCCCTCTTCCAGCTGATACAACTTAGAGAATCAATTTGCAATTAGTATTAAATTAAGGCGGCTCAGTGGCTCACACCTGTAACCCAGCACTTTGGGAGGCCAAGACAGGAGGATCACTTGAGGCCAGGAATTAAAGAGTTACCGTGAGCTATGATTGTACCACTGACTGTACTCCAGCCTAGGTGACAAACAAATATCTGTCTTTAAAAAATAAAAATGTTAGATTGAAACAAGAAATCAGAGTTCTGCAGGGAAAGAAAAACATACTCAAAAGCAAAAGAAAAAATTTTATCATTCCCCAATTCGAAGTGCAATACCAATATGTTTCTCAAATCCCCACTTCCCTAACCTTATATAGCACCAGAAACCCACCACACAGACACGGTGG